GTATACCTTCTTCGGAGTTTCTTTTTGCTGCGCCATACTACAACTATATTTACCATTTAGTTTGTGTGAACCGCGATTTTTAGTATATATTGCGTAGCCGCAGTACAAAGCCACCTGGACTTTGACAAATGCTAAAAATAGCAGAACTGGCATATTGACTTTGTCACCCCTCCCTTAGAGATGAACTAAGCGCTAATTAAAAACCTCCCATATTTTGGGAGGTCACATGACCAGCCTTGACCAGGGTCTTTGCCGCAGCGTGGGCCGCGAGAAGCGTAGGTAAAAGAGCCTGGCTTGCGAGGTTGTCGTACATCTTCATTCGTACATTATCACATTTTGGTGTAAAAAGTTAATTATTTGTATCTCAAATTATTAATTTGAAATTTAATTACTTCCTGCCAATGAACGCATTTCGCCGAATTTCCAAGTTCACTTCCCCTGTTTATCGGCGAAAATCGTTTGAATCCATCTTAATATGAAAGTTGGTGAACCATCGACAACGTAAAAGCAATAGCTATACTATGACCAAATACGGCGCCATTTTGTCATCCCGTGTCGGTTGTTAACAATTTCGCATTGTTATTCTTACATTCAAGCCCTTTAATTTCAGCATTAACAAATACGATTATGACCTTAATATAATAATAAAGGATTTGAGATTAAAAACAGGAACAAAATGTGAGCAAAACATCGTTTTACCACCCTGCTAAATTTGCACACAAACAATCAATGCAGATTTTGCGCGAGTAAAAGGACAGGGCTCTGGTATATTTCAGGATATAACCGTTTATTAATTCATTGGTTTTCAGTCTTTGTTTATTTGCAGTTATTAGGCATTTGTTGTCGCACGCAACTTTTTTCTCTTCGTGTGAAAAGAGATCAACTCCCCTGGCATGTCCTTATAACGTTCCTCGCACGAAATCTGTACGGATTGTTTTGAAAGACTCGGGTACAAATTTAAAATGGCGCTGTATTTGGTCAGAGATGGGGATTTGCGTTGTCGATGTTTAAATTGTTGAAATCTACTAAAAAACGTCTTAAAATTTGTTAAAAATGTAAATGATATTATCACGCCTCAACCGACGTTCATATTTCGAAGAATTCAAACGATTTTCGCTGATAAACAAGGGAATGAACTTGGGAATTCGGCGAATTCAGTCGAAAAATATTAACTTTTTTACACAAAACAGTGATAATATATTATCTTAAAATGTACAAATTATGTTTCTATAAAAAGGATTTGGGAAAAAAAGCAGTGTACGCCCTCTGCTGTTTATTTGAGGTGTAAGCCACAATTTGGCACTTGTTTAAGAATATTGCATGGTCATTTTCTTGTAAAGCATTATTGCTAAGAATTTTCTACTTACCAATGACCACCCTAAACCACCATCTCTGAACCATACAAGCAGTTCTGATTAGTTAAAGCTTTTTTGGTTTAGTATATAGCACTATAATGAACGTGCTATTTTCGGGTGTTGTCAGTTTCGGATGTTTCGCCCTGCATTATGGTTGGAGCAGCGTTACCATGTTGACCGCCATGGTCAACTTGGACGTACAAAAGACTATTATTAAGCTAGTCCAATTAATTGAGAGGGGGGGGGGGTGTGAAAATTCATATATTAAGGTTTACATACCGTAGAAACAATAGCTTGTATACAAAAGAAATTAGTCGGGCATAAAAAAGAAAATATGAATATTCACCCCTCCCTATTTACGTTTGTTTGTTATAGCGAGAAACGTTAAATGGAATACAGCCATGTCCGCACTAAATACCTACATTGTATTTCCTGAACTACTTTCTTCGCTGAAATCAAGAAGATAACTTCCAGAGTTTTTGATGTTTTTAAAACTTGCAAAGCTACCATGGTGAAGATGGAAGTCAAAAGTATCGAATTGAGATATTTCAATATCAACATGTGTGGTATTGATATCATTTTGATCCCAAGTTAAAAGAGTTTTTGTTGAGTTCACCCATCGTTTCATTTCAAGGCCGTCTATGTCTCCGGGATTTCTTCCTAACGGAACTAGGTAGAAGAATACATACAGTAAGCAGTTTCTTATTTTAAGGTAAAATAACATATTTATATCTTATTTAAAAATGAAACAAAATAATTTACTATACATTGTTGCAAAAAATGAAAGGAATTTGCTTTTCATTTCATTTTCAAGAGAAGTGTTTCTCACAACTGCGTGTGCAAAATTAGCGTAGACGGCCTGGCTATTTTGTCCTCCTATTTCAAAATTTTCATGTTCATGGAATATGAAAACAATCAATTTCTCAAGAAATTAAACGAATAATTAAAACAAAAATTTGCATTGCAGGCTGGCCATATAATTTTGCCATTAGTTAATTGGTTGCATTTTTTTCAGCCCCCAAGAGAAAAGCTAAAAGCACATGATGAAGATCAGATTTCTGGAAAACACCGTTAATTGCATTACGTTCGTTAATTACATTAACTGTTTGATCTTACTTGATCGGAAAGTACCGGTAAAATTGAAT